CCTCGCTGCATGAGTTGAAGCTCGTCCTTGAGTTGGAGTTCTCGAGTCTTAGATCTGTGAGAGAATGAGGCTTCAAGAGTGGTCCAGGCCTCATGTGCATGACTCAAACCAAGTACTTCACCCATAGACTCCTTCGTGAGAGAAGAATATAGAAGACTTAGGAGAGTCGGATCTGTATTCAGCCAAGAAGTGTAGGCTGGATTTTCCTGAGAAGTGCTGTCAGATCCATTAATCTTTGAAGAAAGAGCTTGAACACTACCATCCAGATATCCAAAGAGTCCTTGGCTGGTCAACAGAGGTAAGAACTTATTGCGCCAGAGCAAATAATTGGTGGAGGTCAGTTTGATGGTGAGCATATGCACCATCGTGTTCAGCGGAAGCGAAGATGATGAGGACGAAGCAGCCATGAAAAGGATCGAAGAAGGATAGAAGAGAAAAAAAAAATTAATAAAAAAATAGAAGAAAGCTTTGATACCATATAGAGGTTCAAAGACCCGTGTATATGTGACTGAAATCCTCAATGAATAGTGAGGCAATTTGTTTCATTATATAAAGTGTAGTTACAATAGAAAAGTCCTATAACAAAATATATGCAGTTGAGATTATCATATAAAAGATAAATACAGGATAGTTAAGATAAATACAGTATACAATCATCTAAGATCAAGGAAAGACTAATTCGAAGAGGATTCATCCTTATCAGAAAGATTTTACATGCATGGAGGTACATTGCATCCAAATGCTTAAATTCATGTCTGCATGTGTAAGTTGTGTTTTCCATTTTATTGTTTGAGGTAAGTTCTGAGTTAATTGCAAAGTTTACTAAATATTGCTTTTTCCATGCTTCGTTGAGCCTTATGGAGAATTGTTTGATTGTGGTTGATTGTTGGAATTTTTGGTTTCAAGGGTGGAGATAGTTTGAGTTGTTGAAGTTTAGTTTAGTTTGAGGGAACAACTTGAAATGTCCGAAATTCCTTTTTACTTTGAAAGTACCCGTGCAACCTATACTCTTTAAGTTTTCATGTATTCTGCTTATATGATGGATTTAAGTGCATGCCCAGTTAACAAAAGAAAGGAATAGGTGTTTTACAAGACAGTAGAAATGGTTATCCTTCTCTGAAAACCACATGTCAATTTGGGTGGATAATGGTTAGCACTTGTGTTATATTATATAGAATTAATGTGTTGTTGAAATTGGAAACTTACAGATCTGATTAATTGGATGGTGTGTTGAGTTACGCATGAGATGTTGAAATAATTTTCAATCTGGGTTAAACCGTCAGTTTCTAAAACATGTTTAGAAAATTGCAGTTTCACCCTTATATGTGATTTTTGAATATTATGTCATATATGTATGATTTATAAGCTCATACGTAATATGCTCTTAACTTACATGTTACTTGAGATCATGCATGAGATTGTTGTGGTGCTAAAACCACCCTACAAAGTATCCATCCCCCAGTGGTTCAGATTTTGGCTCTGCGCATGCGTATGACAGTTATCAGTGCTCTGCTTAGGCGTTGAGTGGTCCGCCAGGTATGACAGTTTTGAGGCTCTGCCCGCGCGATGATAGACCTTGCCGGGGTATGACAGGTACGTCCCTCGCTCTACCTGCGTATGGGACGCTCACCACGTATGACAGATTTTCCCCGAGGTACTAGTTGTGGTGAGAGTTTTTAATACCAAATGTTGAGGTTTTATACAGAATCCGATACAGTTAAAGGAAGTAAGTCATAGTACAGTTTACTGAGTGGAGGATGATTAGAAATAAATCACATATTGCATACATGAATGGGATGGTTGTTTCCATTGCATATCCATAGAATTATATTGTCGTCAGGATTTGCTTGAGAATTGTTGTATGTTATCATTATTTCTTTTTTAAAGAACTTTTATAAACCTCCCCTTTCCCCCACTCACTGAGTATTTCAACTCACCCCTTTTTAAATGTTTTTCCCCCCTCACCAGGACCTCTTGGAGATCATGTCGAGCAATGAGTCTTCGCTCAGGGTTGTGCCACGCGTTGACATCTTTTTGTGTGGGTTTTATATTTATGTCGTATTGTATTTTTGGACTTCCGTTTCAAAAACTTATGTTTCCCATTATGTATTTCCTTTTGTTTATGTTTCAAAATGTGTTGTATAAGTGAAAAACCTGATACCACAAGTTTCCCTAACTCTTTTCTTTTGTATAACGAAAGATGATGAATGTCCTTTTTTTTGAGATGTTGGAAATGGAAATACTATGATGTTATTAAGGAAAAGTAGGTCTTTTAACAGGTTTCACAGTTTTTCTACATGGCATGTCTCGGGTATCCGAGTCTTGTGGGAGCGCTTGGATCCTACTGGATGAGAAAATTCGGGACGGGTCGTGTCAACTTGGTATCAGAGCATGGTTTTCGATTTTAAGGGCATTTTTTTTGAAAATTTTCATGCATGCCAATTAGTCCCTTAATGAAGTTTATTTCCATCCATGAGTTTTTTCTTTTTTCAGAAACCAA